CATCTGTCGTCATCACGTCACCTGCCTAAAGGCGTGATTAGAGGTGGCTTCAGCCAGGACACGCAGGGGCGTGGTTCCCATACATGTGTTGTACCGAGTGAATTGACTGAAAGGGAACTCACTTTTACTCCCTGGCCTTTCATTCTGGTAGAGTTTGAGATTATTTTAATGATAATGTTTTTAATGTTTTTCTGTACTTTAAATTGATTTTACTGTCTACATTTATGTGCTGCTCAATTGCTTTATTAATTTGGCTTAACTGTGAAGCACTTTGGCCAACTTCTGTTGTTTTTATGTGCTATACAAATAAAAGTGACATTGGCATTTAACCTGATTGAATCTTTTTTTGTTTAGATGTCTGAGAAACTAGATGAGAACATGGATCGCCTGCGTCAGAGTCTGGGCCTGTGGGACAATGTGCACAAACTAAGTGAAACCATTGAAAGCTGGTCGAGCAGCTGTGTGGTTGAGCTAAATGACAGCCTGAGTAACTTCAACAACAGTCAGCAGGTGTCTGCAAGACTCTCACAGCTACAGGTAGAGGAAGACTTCACACAAGCTTCTGTGTGATGAGTTTGAACAAATCCTTCATGTTAGATAAAACAGACACATTTAAACTGGAACCACTCAGATTACTGCCAGAATAAAACTAATTACTGCATACTTTCCTCATTTCATATGTTTACAGGCAGAAACTGGGGAGAGGGAACAGGAACTGGAAATCCTGCAGAGCAAAATGTCAGAACTGAACGAGTGCGGTCGGAGTCAAGAGACTTCAGCTAAACTGCAGGTGCTTCACATAAATACCAGTTTATCTTTTTGTTTTTCCCAGTCATTTACAGGTGAGCTAATGCCGACTCAGCATGTTTTCCTTTTAGGGAGTTTTTCTTCAATCAAACTACTTGCATTATTACAGATCTTCTCATTTGCTTTGGTTCATTTCTCAGATCAGAGTTGAAATTCTCAAAACTACGCGTTCAATCTTCACATCAATGTGCACATCAAAAAAGCAGTTTCCCAGTTTTTGAGCAAGTTGCAAAAGCTTTAGTACATCCATATAAATGATTCTGTGCAATTCTCTGATGTAGGGCTGCAACTAACGATTATTTTAATAATCGATTAATCTGTTGATTATTTTTTCGATTAATCGGTTAATCGGCCAAATCATTAAAATGCTTAATTACATGAGTATGAGTAGATATAAATTAAATTAACTCCTTAAGGATGCAAGTT